ACTTTTTATATCCACTGTAGATACCATTGTTGTATTTCAGTTGCCAGTTGGATCACTCCATTGTTCAAACACAGCTTGACTTTTTGACATATATGACCTATGGCATGTATGATACCACAGTGCCACTTTGAGGTCGAATTGGAGAATGTTTCTTCCAAGGAGACACATGATTGCGAAAGGAGCCACACCCATGGCACCACCTGCCTGGAGACTGCTGCTGTTATGGAAGAACCTCTGATGTAATGGGGAACCTCTGATTTTGGGCAGCACAATGGCTAAATGGTTAGCACTTCCACCTAGGAGTACTACTGCCATTGGTTCGAATCTCAACCACGGCACCAGCTGCCTGGAGTTTGCTTGTTATCACTGTGTCTGCGTGGGTTTACTCCAGGTACTCCAGTTTCCTTCCACACTCTAAAGACATGCTGGGAGGTTGATTGGCTCCTGTCTAAATTGTCCCTAGTATGAATGTGAGTTAGGGACCTTAGATTGTATGCCCCTTGAGGGTAACACTTGCCAAATAAAAGCCAACAGATGCTGAGGAGGACCCGAAGATGACTTGACACCAAAAAATATATATTTTTAAAAATACATTTCAAATATACTGTATGTCTTTAAAAATACAAATCTACATTTTTGGAATGCATTTACAAATATATGTAAAAAATATATGTTAACCCCTTCCCGCCAGCAAAATCCTGACCCTTAAGAGTTTCAGTAGCCGGGGGCGGGGTTTAGGGATCACGGTGGTCACATGATCGGGAAAGGTCCTGATCAAAAGAGCAGACCGGGACCTTTCCGTGAGTACCAGACGTGTGCTGGCAGCGCGCACGGCGTCTAGGCCCAGATGCCGGGGACCGCACATTTGTGAGCGGCCAGTGTGAAGAGGTTAAAACAACTTTTTTAATATGTTAAAAAAAATCTGAACAATATATTTATAAAATATACATTTTTAAAAATATATTTTAAAATATTTTTCATAATAAAAACGCATTTCAACATACAGTGTATATATATATTTGTTGAAATATATTGAATACGGCCAAAATTGTAGCATTTCAAATACATGTTAATATATTTGGGAAGAATATTGTTAAAATATATTTCAAATATATTTTTCTTCCCCGTGGGCAGGTACTCCGGTTTCCTCCCATACAGTGGCTAAATGATTAGCATTTCCACCTGGCAGTACTAGAGTCGTTGGTTTGAATTTCAACCACGGCACCACCTACCTGGGAGTTTGCATGTTCTCCCTGTGCCTGCGTGGGTTTCCTCCGGGTACTCTGGTTTCCTCCCACACTCCAAAGACATGCTGGTAGGTGTATTGGCTCCTGTCTAAATTGGCCCTAGTATGTGTATGTGAGTTAGGGACCTTAGATTGTACGCCCCTTGAGGGTAAAACCTGCCAAATAAAAGCCAACAACAGATGCTGACGAGGACGACTCGAAGGTGACCTGACACAAAGGAGGATTTCTTCGAGAACTTGAAGACACTTTTCGCCCAATCTCCTGCAACTGTTTTAGAGCAAGCCTGGGGTCCGCGTTGCCTACAGAGATTGTGAAGCCTCAAAAATTGGAGCTAAGTAACTTTTCAGTGTATTACTATTGGATACAGAACATAGTTTTGCTAGAAAGTAGGTAGCATGTTGCTTGTTATATATATATCTGACACCGGTTTCTATGTACAGCATTTTCATTAAGTAAAAGCACATTAATACACTACAGAAGTCTAAGCTTCCCTGCTTGGAATGCAACGTATCCTTTACGAGACACCAACGCAAAACAGAAAGGAGATTTAGGCAGCACGGGGGCTAAAATTCAGGGGTGTCAAACTGGCGGCCCTCCAGCTGTTGCGAACCTACAAGTCCCATCATGCCTCTGCCTTTCAGAGTCATGCTTGTAACTGTCAATATTGCAATGCCTCATGGGACTTGTAGTTTGGCAACAGCTGGAGGGCCACCAGCTTGACACCCGTGGGCTAAATGGTTAGCACTTCCGCCTGGCAGTACTAGGGTCGTTGGTTCAAATCCCAACCACGGCACCACCTGCATGGAGTTTGCATGTTCTGCTTGTGTCTGCGTGGGTTTCCTCCACCCATATGGAAGAAAAATGTATTTGAAATATATATTTTAAAAATATTTTTCCCAAATATATTCACATATATTTTAAATGCTACAATTTTGGCCGTATTCAATATATTTCAATATATATATATACACACACACAGGCGTGCCTCGGTTTACGAACTTAATTCGTTCTGCGGGACTTTTCGTATTGCGAAAAATTCGTAATCCGAAACGCGGGTTTCCCATAGGAATGCATTAAATAAATTAATCCATTCCAGAGGTCAGAAAAAAGTTAAAAAAAAAAGTCTTATCTGTTCAAAACTCTTTATAAAGTGCACTTTAAAGGCATAAATACTGTACAGGGACATGATTAAAAAAAAAAAATTATATCTATTTATACACTGTATGTTAAAATGCATTTTTATTATAAAATACATGAAAAATATTTTTAATGCATTCTAAATATATTTTTTTATATATTGTGTAATAAAAACGCATTTCAACATACTATATATATACACACACATTATATATACATATATACACACACACACACACACGCGCACACACATATACGCGCGCGCACACACACACACACACACACACACACACACACACACACACACACACACACACACACACACACACACACACACACACACACACACACACACACACACACACACACACACACACACACACACACACACACACACACAATGTTAAAATGCGTTTTTATTACAAAATATATGAAAAATATTTTTAAAAATACATTTCAAATATACTGTATGTCTTTAAAAATACAAATCTACATTTTTGGAATGCATTTACAAATATATGTAAAAATATATGTTAAAATGACTTTAATATGTTAAAAAAAAAAATCTGAACAATAAATTTAAAAAAGATATTTTTTAAAAACATTTTAAAAATATTTTTCATATATTTTGTAATAAAAATGCATTTCAACATACAGTGTATATATATATATATATATATATATATATATATATATATAAATAATATACACACACTGTATGTTAAAATGCGTTATTACAAAATATATGAAAAATATCTTTTTTAAATTTATTGTTCAGATTTTTTTTTAACATATTAAAGTCATTTTAACATATATTTTTACATATATTTGTAAATGCATTCCAAAAATGTAGATTTGTATTTTTAAAGAAATACAGTATATTTGAAATGTATATTTTTAAAAATATTTTTCATATATTTTGTAATGAAAACGCATTTTAACATACTGTGTGTGTATATAATATATGGCCAAAATTGTAGCATTTCAAATATATGTCAATATATTTGGGAAAAATATATTTAAAATTAAATTTAAAACTTTTTCTTCCATATGGGCAGGTACTCCGGTTTCCTCCAACACTCCAAAGACATGCTGGGAGGTTGATTGGCTCCTGTCTAAATTGTCCCTAGTATGAATGTGAGTTAGGGACCTTAGATTGTATGCCCCTTGAGGGTAAAACTTGCCAAATAAAAGCCAACAGATGCTGACGAGGACTCGAAGATGACTTGACACCAAAAAATATGTATTTTAAAAATACATTTCAAATATACTGTATGTCTTTAAAAATACAAATCTACATTTTTGGAATGCATTTACAAATATATGTAAAAATATATGTTAACCCCTTCCCGCCAGCGCCTCCTGACCCTTAAGAGTTTCAGAAGCCGGGGGCAGGGTTTAGGGATCACGGCGGTTACATGATCGGGAAAGGTCCTGATCGAAAGAGCAGACCGGGACCGCGCAAGGCACGCGCTTTCAACACATATGTTTTTTGTTAATTGCACACAAATGTGCGGCCGCTCGGCGTCTAGGCCCAGACGCTGGGAGACCGCACATTTGTGTGCGGCTGGCGTGAAGGGGCTAAAAAGACTTTTTTAAACACTTACAGACCGGACACTTTTACCCCCTTCCTGACCAGGGCAATTTTCAGCTTTCATAAACTATCACACTTTGAATGACAATTTCGCGGTCATGCAACACTGTACCCAAATGAATTTTTTTGACACAGATAAAGCTTTATTTGGTGGTATTTATTCACCGCTGGGTTTTTTTGGTTTTTTTTTGCTATGTAAATGAAAATGTCCAAAAATTTTGAAAAAAAGTGTTTTTTTTAATAAAATTTTGCTAATAAATAATATTTCATCATAAAACTTAGCCAAAATTTGTATGTATGAATGTAAGTTAGGGACCTTAGACTGTACACCCCTTGAGGGTTAGGGACTGATGTGAATGTACAATATATATGTAAAGCGCTGCCAGGGGCGGACTGACCATTTGGAAACTTGGGCACTGCCCGAGGGCCTGGGGTCAGTAGGGGGCCCCATGAGATGCCCCTGGTATCTTTTTCATAGGTTTTTTTGAGTTTGGGCAAGGACACAGGGGCCCCATGATCCCATATTGCCCGGGGGCCCCATGAGTTGTCAGTCCGCCCCTGGCGCTGCGTAAATTGACAGCGATATACAAGTACCTGAAATAATAATAATTTACTTACCTAATCCTCCCTGCACAAGACTGGTCTGGCACCCCCTTTTCTTTTTCTTTTTGGCATATTCTAGCAGTCTGGAGATGTGGATTGTTCCTGATGTCATCAAGCCCAGAGCCGGTTCCATACACCAGGAACAATCCACTGCTAGACCATGGGGAGGGGAGCACCATTTTCCGATGGAACGTAGGATTGGGTGAGTATATGCTTTCTCCTCACCTCTAGATACAATAAGCAGCTGACGCCCACAGTGTGGGAACAGCCCCACTCCATGGAAAGCTTAGTTTGCCCGGAGATGGGCTTTAAGAACACTGAGGGTTTGATCTCACTTTTATGGCAGGATCACCAGTTATTATTTTAATTAGATCTGCGGATTTTGAAACGATTGAAAACAAACTTGTAAACTGCATGAATTAAAGCATATCAAAGAGTTGACTGATTGAGTTTACATCTACTTCAGTCCTTGTATGGGCCTTTCCATGTCTAATTAGATTTGACGCATCAGTAAAACCCCTTCCACACACACAACAAAGACACGGCCAGATGCCAGAGGGAATTATTTCACAAGTTTTGGTCTTGTACACCACATCCTACATCCTGAATGGGTTCAAGGCTTCTCCCCGGTATGAGTCTTCTGATGGACAAAAAGATAGGATCTCCGGGTAAAACATTTCCCGCACTCCGAACACGAATATGGTTTTTCTCCCGTGTGGATCCTCTTGTGTCTGGTAAGAGCTGAACTGATAGGAAAACGTTTCCCACACTCAGAACACGAATATGGCTTCTCGCCGGTGTGAGTCCTCTGGTGTACAATAAGGTGCCCTATCTGGGTGAAACATTTCCCACACTCTGTACAGGGATATGGCTTCTCCGCTGTGTGGATTCTCTGATGGACGATAAGATGCCCAATTTGGGTGAAACATTTCCCGCACTCGGAACACGAATACGGCCTCTCTCTCCTGTGTGAGTCCTCTCGTGCTCGATAAAAGTCGATTTCCGCGAAAACAATTTGCCGCATACAGTACATGAATATGGCTCCTCCACCGTGTGATTTCTCTGGTGAGAGATGAGGATCGCTCTTTGGGTAAACACTCTTCCGCACACAGGACACGGGAACCTTTCACCCCCTCTATGGTCAATGGGGAGGGGGATGGGAGGAGATAAATTGGAAAAACGTCCCCCGTGTGTAGAGGGATGAAAGGACAGATCTGCACTGGGAAGGATTGAATGGAGATATGGCCGAATTAGGTTTTCTTCTGAAGAATCTTCTCTGACTTCATTTTCTATTCCAAGAGAGATAATAGGACATTCCTCCATGTTATTCCCATTTTGTTGTCTGTCTGGAAGATACAGAGAATGACTGGAATGATTATTCGTTGAGGAAAGTAGAAAAATTGCATTGAACCTATAGAGTTATTATAGTGTTACTGAACCCCCACAACAGTACATTCAGTCTGTATATGCAGCAAAGCATGCTGGGTATACTCACTGTGGAACCAAAGGGGTTAATCCTCTGCATTGTGTAAAAAGGATGTTTGATCCTGTCTTCTCTGATCCTCCCCTTCTTCCAGTGCCCCCCCTCTTATCTCCTTATGAGACATATCGTGTGGAGACTCTCTGCACATGCTCAGTTTAGTGTGTATTGCTAAAGTTTTTTTTTTTTCTTAGGAGGGTGCATGTGATCAGCACAGGGCCAATCAGTGCTGTCCAGACAGAGGCCAGGGGTCCCCCATCCTCCTACAGTAGAATAAAAACTCCTCCTACAAGCTTTAACCAGTGCTCTGCTGAAGTCACAAGCCTGCTATACACAACTGATGAGAAAAGGGATTTAGCAGTTTATATTTACTGAAATAGTTGTATTTCCATGTTCTGTGTACTGTGGGAGACCAGATATAGTGAACATGGGGATCCGGGGAGAGCGGATATAGTGAATGCAGGGTCTGGGGAGAGCGGATATAGTGAATGCAGGGTCTGGGGAGAGCGGATATAGTGAATGCAGGGTCTGGGGAGAGCGGATATAGTGAATGCAGGGTCCGGGGAGAGCAGATATAGTGAATGCAGGGTCCGGGGAGAGCTGATATGGTGAATGCAGGGTCCGGGGAGACCGGATATAGTGAATGCAGGGTCCGGACAGACCAGATATAGTGAATGCAGGGTCCGGGGAAACCGGATATAGTGAATGCAGGGTCCGGACAGACCAGATATAGTGAATGCAGGGTCCGGGGAAACCGGATATAGTGAATGCAGGGTCCGGGGAAACCGGATATAGTGAATGCAGGGTCCGGGGAAACCGGATATAGTGAATGCAGGGTCCGGGGAGACCGGATATAGTGAATGCAGGGTCCGGGGAGACCGGATATAGTGAATGCAGGGTCCGGGGGAGACCGGATATAGTGAATGCAGGGTCCGGGGAGACCGGATATAGTGAATGCAGGGTCCGGGGAGACCGGATATAGTGAATTGCAGGGTCCGGGGAGAGCAGATATAGTGAATGCAGTGTCCGTGGAGAGCGGATATAGTGAATGCAGGATCCAGGGAGAGCAGATATAGTAAATGCAGGGTCCAGGGTTTAGTAATACTGTAAACTATTGATGTAAATGACCTGGTTCCTGGGCAGGCGACTTCTACAGCCCACGGTCTCCTTGACTTTTGAAGTGCCAAATTACAGCTAAAAGGTCCAGATACAACTTTATTTAAAAAAAAAAAAAAAGTCAGGGGGACAATCCAAAGAGTATCCAATGCATTTTGGAGGTCCAAAAATGACCCTTCACCAGGGCTAGAAAAACCATAAGGACGTCTCCATATCAATATGACATTCATTCCTCAGGGCCGTAGTTTTTCTATTGTACTGATAGGAAGTCCTTGTATTATCTCTGGTTCTTTTAGACCCCCAAAACGCATTGGATACTCTTTGGATTGCCCCTTTATTGGAATAAAGTTCTATGTAGACCCAGGGTTTTTTTCTCTCAGAGAATAGGTGCAGGAACTCCCCCCTTTTTAGTCACTTCTTGACACCCCCCCATGCACCATCCTTTGGTTCCACCCCCTACCCACCTTCCAGTACCGCTCCTTTTAGAGAGTTCAGAGACAAGTATCATTTTGTGGTGCATGGAAATTTGTTAATGATAGTAACAAAATACCACCCCCCCCATCTACAATAGACCCCCCCCAGCAACAAAATACCACCCCATTTACAATTGACCCCCCCAGCAACAAAATACCACCCGATCTACAATAGACACCCCAACAACAAAATACCCCAACAGCAACAATCGATCCACCAGCAACAAAATACCGCCCTATCTACAATAGATCACCAAGCAAAAAAATACCACTCCATCTACAAAAGAACCCCCCATCAACAAAATACCACCCCATCTACAATAGACCTCAACAGCAACAATAGATCACAAGCAACAAAATACCACCCCATCTACCATAGACCCCAATAGCAACAATGGATCAACCATCAACAAAATACAGTGACATCTATAAAAGACCCCAATAGCAACAACAGATCCCCAGCAACAAAATACCACCACATCTACAATAGATCCCAACCGCAACAACAGATCCCCCAGCAACAAAATACCACCCCATCTACAATAGACCTCAACAGCAACAACAGATCCCCCAGCAACAAAATACCACCCCATGTACAATAGTCCTCAAGAGCAACAACAGATCCCCCAGCAACAAAATACCACCCCATCAACAATAGACCTCAACAGCAACAATAGATCTCCCAGCAGCTAGCATCATTGGACTAGCCAGCAGCAAAGACACCTCCCTCAACAGTAGACCCCTTGCAGCAACAATAGACCCCCCAGCAGCAACAACAGACCCCCCCAGCAGCAACAATAGACCACCACACAAAATAGATCCCCCACCAGTGGCAATAGATCCGCAGCAGCCAGCATCAATAGACCTTCCAGCACATCCCAGCACCCCTTGCCATTTCATACATCCAGTGCTGGAGGTGTCAGAACTGCGTTTCCCCGAGTTCCCGCTGTGTAGACCTCTTAGCAGTGATGTGGCCCTTCAGTCTCTGTTATTGTTACAGAAATGTTTAATAGGCCACTAAACAGAAATGTTCTAATAAAGTACATTAACAAATATCTACATTTCAGGAACCTGTATAGACACCCATAAACCTCCACAAGGCAAAAGTCCTATAACGAATTGTTGGTCCATGTGTCTAGTAGACTATAATAGTAGAATACAATATAATAGACTTGTCTGTGATTTTGACCCAGAATAGAATTAAGGGCAGCACAGTGTGGTTAGCACTTCCACCTGGCAGTAATAGGGTGGTTGGTTCGAGCCCCAACCACGGCATTGCCTGCCTGGAGTCTGCATGTTCTCCCTGTGCCTGCGTGGGTTTCCTCCCACACTCCAAAGACATGCTGGTAGGCTAATTGGCCCCAGTATGTGTATGTATGAATGTGAGTTAGGGACCTTAGATTGTACACTCCTTGGGGGCGGGGACTGATGGGAATATACAATATCTCCCAGACGTGAGTCCACCCCTCACATTTTTGTAAATATTTGATTCTCTCTTTTCATGTGACAACACTGAAGAAATGACACTTTGCTACAATGTGACATAGTCAGTGTACAGCTTGTATAACATGTAAATTTGCTGTCCCCTCAAAATAACTCAACATACCGACATTGATGTCTAAACCGCTGGCAACAAAAGTGAGTCCACCCCTAAGTGACAAGGTCCAAATTGGGCCCAAAGTGTCAATATTTGTGTGGCCACCATTATTTTCCAGCATTGCCTTAACCCTCTTGGGGATGGAGTTTACCAGAGCTTCACAGGTTGATACTGGAGTCCTCTTCCACTCCTCATCATGGACGACATCATGGAGCTGGTGGATGTTAGAGACCTTGCCTTCCATTTGAGGATGCCACATAGATGCTCAATAGGGTTTATGTCTGGAGACATGCTTGGCCAGTCCATCACCTTTACCCTCAGCTTCTTTAGCAAGGCAGTGGTGGTCTTGGAGGTGTGTTTGGGGTCGTTATCATGTTAGAATACTGCCCTGTGGCCCAGTCTCTGAAGGGAGGGGATCATGCTCTGCTTCAGTATGTCACAGTACATGTTGGTATTCCTGGTTCCCTCAATGAACTGTAGCTCCCCAGCGCCGGCAGCACTCATGCAGCCCCAGACCATGACACCCCCACCACCATGCTTGACCGAAGGCAAGACACACTTGTCTTTGTACTCCTCACTTGGTTGCCGACCACACACGCTTGACACCATCTGATCCAAACCAGTTTATCTTGGTGTCATCAGACCACAGGACATGGTTCCAGTAATCCATGTCCTTAGTCTGTCTTCCCCTTCACCCTCTGCAGCAATGCTGGCAGCACTCATACGTCTATTTTCCAAAGACAACCTCTGCATATGACGCTGAGCATGTGCACTCAACTTCTTTGGTCAACCACGGTGAGCCCTGTTCTGAGTGGAACCTGTCCTGTTTAAACCGTTGTATGGTCTTGGCCACCGTGCTGCAGCTCAGTTTCAGGGTCTTGCCAATCTTCTTATAGCCTAGGCCATCTTTATGTAGAGCAACAATTCTTTTTTTCAGATCCTCAGAGTTCTTTGCCATGAGGTGCCATGTTGAACTTCCAGTGACCCAGTATGAGACAGTGAGAGCAATAACACCAAATGTAACACACCCGCTCCCATTCACACCTGAGACCTTGTAACACCAATGAGTCACAGACACCGGGGAGGGAGAATGGCTAATTGTGGGGCCAAATTTGGACCTTGTCACTTAGGGGTGGAGTCACTTTTGTTGCCAGCGGTTTAGACATTAGTGGGCTGCGTGTTGAGTTATTTTGAGGGGACAGCAAATTTACACTGTTATACAAGCTGTACACTCACTACGTCACATTGTAGCAAAGTGTCATTTCTTCAGTGTTGTCACATGAAAAGAGAGAATCAAATATTTACATAAATGTGAGGGGTGGACTCACTTCCGGGGGATACTGTATATGTAAAGCGCTGCGTAAATT